TAATGAATACTAGTGGCGCAGCTGCTATTCTTTAAACAAATAAATGATTTTATATTAAAGAATTCAGCTGTTAGAGTATTCATCACAGTAGCCGAAAACCTTGTTTTCTCTTGGACGACGGTTACCAGCTAGGTAGCTACCGTGCTTCCGTTGAACACAATGCAATTTCTCCTGAAAAACGTCGCGTAATATTAATCTGCGGTTTATAGAAAGAGGATGTACACGTGCTCGGTCGCATGTATATATGTACTTTAAACTGAAAAATATACAAAAGCACGGTTTATTCATACACAGTGCAAGCAAATCTGGTTAATCTGGTGATTTACTAGTACCGACGTTTCGGCGCATATCTCACGGTCTTCTTCAGGGCGACAAGTCTGATTTTTGCAAACCGTTCTGTGGTTCGCAACTGTTGTGACGTATGGATCCAAAGGTTATGACAGCTGGGGACTACAGAACGAACTGGAAAATCAACCCTGTCATCCTGAAGAAGGCCCGAGAGATGAGAAAACGTTAAAAAGTCAAGACTAGTTAATCACCCGATTAGCTAATTTGCTTGCGTTTTGTATAAATAAATCGTACTTTTGTATATTTTTCTGTATTCAATATGATTACCAACGCGCGAACGAAAGAGTTAATCTTCAGATATGTACTTTGCAAAGTTTCCGAATGTGAGAACAAAAAAAGAAAGCCATTCCATGGGAACATCACCACTGTTTAATGAAACAAATGATATCCAGTATCTCAAAGTAGTCATCATCACAAAGGAAGATCATCAACTTGCAATGTAACAACCCATTAGCATTAGTAAAACGAAGGGTGGAATAAATGGGTTGAAGTAACAAGTTATGGCACAACACCTATAGACTGAATGAAAAGGCTCTCGATTTCGGGATACTGACTAAACTGAAAGACTGTAAAAAATATGACTGCAAACTCATTTTAAAAACTTGAAATTAGTAACGCATTGGAACAGATCGACAGCATAAGTGTTAATGCGGAAGCGTCAGCGGTGAGACTGCAGCAATAATGATGATGACAACAGAAGAATTATAGGACTTTAGGATGAATAATGTAAGATGTCTCAACGACTTTATTTCTACTCTATTTTTAAGATGCTACGGAGTAGAGCATTTCAGCTAAGTAGTTTCAGTCTACTACATGAACTGCTTGTTCAAAATATTGTACTCTGTAATACCTTTAAAGTAAACTGCCGCTAGGAATCATGGTAGATTATAAATTAATAAAAGAACGACGGGATAAAACTTTCTAGGATGAATACGTCTGATTATTTCAGGGTAGAC